TGTGTGTGTGTGTGTGTTTGGTTGAGTTGAACCCAGATACTCACATTTAAAAGTGTAAGCATCAGACATTTTGGTCTTGATGCCTGTCACCGTTTCAAAGTGTGTTGAGTGTCTGTTGTTTTAAAATCCTAATATTACCAGATAATTGATGTGTAGTATTTTGCTCTTTAGAACTGATGTATAATAATCCTTTCCAATTGGATTGTTGACCACATTCTCTTCTGATTGCTTTGTGTTTGGGGGAAAAAATGTTAAAGCACTTTGTACTATTGTTTTCATTACAGTTCATGTTTCTATAACACAGTAACAGTAACTCACTCTGTGAGGTGTGAGTCTCCGTTCTGAGCCTGCAGGTCACTGAAGAAATCTGGGCTGACGCAGCCATCTGCTGGAGTTATTCCATCTTAACACAAACACATGAAGATAAAATGCACATATGCTCTCAGGTGTTACACATTGTGATTGCACTTCATAGAAGGCCTTGTTTTTATAGGATTCATCTTTTGTGAATGTCGCCACAGTCAAAACTTTGTGTAATAGTTTCCATTGTCACTCAATGAGTTATCGCTGTACACTAAATCAACTCAATGTGGCAGATTTGATTCAGTGGTAACCTAAACAAAAGTCAGTCAGTCCTTATGGAACGTTAAGATTCAGTGTTGGTGAATAAATGAGACATAAGTAAACACAGTATTTCTTTCATCGTCATCTGGTGATTATGAAAACTATCATGCTTGACTGAAAGCATAGTAGTTGTTGTGCTTCTGGACATTTATGGACAGCAGCTGCCTGTGCTCCTGAAGACAGCTGATTCTAAGGACTCTGGCAAGTCAAGTTAAAAGCTCAAAGTTCATCATTTTACATCGGGCATTAAAATGCATCCTGAAAGTGTCTTCAGTGACATTATGTGATTGGATACCCCCTCCCCCTCTATATGCAAATAAGCAAGTACATCATTTTGTTAACAAAGACCACATGATGTTGTTTTTAACCATTCTGACTATGAAAATAGGTCAGTTGTAAATGTGTTTGTGGACAACAGCTGAGTAGGCTGTTTATTTGTTACCCAGGACACATTCACGTTCAAATTGGTAAAAGAATGTGGAGACGTGTCCCAAATCACCTGAGTGATCAAATCTAAAATGCGTCCTCGCTGTGTCTTAACGCCATGGAACAGGGCCTTTAACAACCGCTAAACAATAAAGAGTATAGAGGAGAGTGACAGATCCTCCTATGGCCTCATCCATGCTATAAATATATGCTTAAAAAACAAATGTAGTGAAAGCAGCGCAATGATCTGTAGCTACTGTGACTAAAACCTTGACAATACATTTTTGCAGTCATATTTTGCAGTGTAATGCATTGTCCTGGGTTCAATGTACCTGCACTATAGAAGAGATCGGTCCTGTCATTGTCGTTATCGTAGAGATATGTTTCTGACTCATCAGCCTGACGACTCTCGACCATCTCCAACCATTGGTTGTTATGGAAACGAAACTTCTCTGACTGGATCTTCCTCCCCCACTCCTCATCGTACTCCTAGAACATGAGGAAAACACACACACACACACACACACACACACAC